GCTGGTACTGCCTGCCCGCCAAGGTGAGCTCCGGGCGGTGGGGGTGGGGGGTGGGGGCACAATGTTCCCTCTAAGCTGTGGAGCCTTGTGAGCAAGAATTCTACTTTGTGAGCTAAAAAGTTAAAGGTCTCCCTTGCTCGAAAGCCCCGACTCTAGGGTTGCGGTGCTCATCTCCGTTTCCAAGCCGAAGAGGTAAAGGTTCCCTTGCTCGAAAGCCAGTCGAGTCCGACTCTAGGGTTGCGGTGCTCATCTCCGTTTCCAAGCCGAAGAGGTAAAGGTTCCCTTGCTCGAAAGCCAGTCGAGTCCGACTCTAGAGCTGCAGTGCTCATCTCCGTTTCCAAGCCGAAGAGGTAAAGGTTCCCTTGCTCGAAAGCCAGTCGAGTCCGACTCTAGAGCTGCAGTGCTCATCTCCGTTTCCAAGCCGAAGAGCCAGCGCTGTCCGAAGACATTTCCGTGGTCATGTGGCCGGCTTAAACACCGCGGCGCACGGAACGCTGTGACCTTCCCACTGAAGTGGTACCTATTTATCTACTTGCAGTTTCTTGCTTTTGAACGGCTAGGTTGGCAGGAACTTTGTGAGCTCCTGGCATTACAGTTGTGAGTGAGCGATTGGGCTGCCGCATCAATTAGTTTGCTCTGGAGCCCTCCTTCCTGAGATGAGACAAAATTGTGTGAGCTGGAGGCTAAAAAACTGTGAGCTGGAGGCTAAAAAACTGTGAGCTGGCTCACACTGACTCAGCTTAGAGGGAACACTGGTGGGGGGGTGACCAAGGTAGGGCTGGGGTGGGGCTCACCTTTCTGTTTCTCCTCTCCACACACTCCAGACGCCGGTGACGCTGTGGGAAGAGTCCGGCGACGGGGTGATTTACACTGTGAGCTGCCGGTCGCCGGGGGGAGCCCGCAGCCCCATTGGGGGCTCCGACGGCGGGGTGAGTGGTGGTGGTGGGTGGGTGCCGGGAGGGAGGGGGGAGCTCTGGTTTCGAGAGCCTCCTCCTTATGAACGCGTGAATCGGCCTTACGCTGAATATGGAGCAGAGGTCCATCCGTGGCTATGAGCCACAAGGGATAGATAGGAGCTCTGGGGGCAAGGGATGCTCTGTCTTCTTGGTGCTTGGGGGGGTCAACAGTGGGAGGGCTTCTAGTGTCCTGGCCCCACTGCTGGACCTCCTGATGGCACCTGGTATTTCTGGCCACTGTGTGACACAGAGTGTTGGACTGGATGGGCCTTTGGCCTGATCCAACATTGGCGTCTCTTATGTTCTTATGAATCAGACCACTGGTCCATTAAGGCCAGTATTGTCTACTCAGACTGGCAGCTGCCCTCCAGTTCTCAGGCTGAAAAGGGTCTTTCACCTCCTGCCTGGTCCTTTTAACTGGAGACGCCGGGAATTGAACTTGGGACCTTCTGCACGTGAAGCCGAGGCTCTGCCACTGAGCCACAGCCCCCTCCCTCCTCTTCCTCCTCATCCTCACCCTGCTCACCCTCACCAGTTTGGTGTAGTGGTTAAGTGCGCGGACTCTAATCTGGGAGAGCCGGGTTTGATTCCCCCACTCCTCCACTCGCACCTGGCTGGATGACCTTGGGCAAGCCGTAGTTCTGATAAGAGCTGTCCTTGAAAAAGAGCAGTTTCTGTCAGAGCTCTCTCAGCCCCACCTACCTCCCAGGGTGCCTGTTGTGGGGAGGGGAAGGGAAAGGAGTTTGTCAGCCACTCTGAGACTCCTTCGGGTAGTGAAAGGCCATGGGGTATAAATCCAATCTCGTCCCTTCTCTCTTCTTCCTCGCCCTCCTTCTTTCGGTGTCCGCAGGGCGAGGAGGCGTCGCCGTCGGAGCCCCCCTCTCTGGGCCAGTGCCGGGTGCTGAAGGCCGCCGCTCTGCCCGCCCTGGTGCGGCACCTCCTGGAGGCCCCGATGCTGGGCGATCCCTGCTACGTGCCCGCCTTCCTGGCCACCTACCGGACCTTCGCCGCCCCCCGCCTGGTCCTGGTGCAGCTGCTGGAAAGGTGAGGCTCTGAAGGAGTGGGGGGGAGGGGGTGCTGTCGACGGCCCCTGCCAGAACGTGGGGGGGTCACTTCTGGGGAGGGAGCGTCCTGTAGAAGCCCTTTCAGCCCCCCCTGCTCCATCTCTCCTGGCCTCCTTGAGAGCCACTTTGGTGTAGGGGTTAAGTGCGGGGACTCTAGTCTGGGAGAACCGGGTTTGATTCCCCACTCCTCCACATGCAGCTGCTGGTGTGACTTTGTGCCAGTCACAAGCTCTGGCACAGCTGTCCTTGAAAAAGAACCATTCTCAGTCAGAGCTCCCTGAGCCCCACCTACCTCACAGGGTGTCTGTTGTGGGGAGGGGAACGGGAAGGAGTTTGTGAGCCGCTCTCAGACGCCTTTGGGTAGTGAAGGACCGGGTATAACTCCAATCTCTTCTTCTTCCTCAGGCTCCAGGAGCTTGAGAATTCCGGGCCGGAGGTTGCTCCAGAAAGGACGGAGCTGCAGCGGTAAGTGGGCGCCCCCCTTCCACGATCCAGCCCCAAAATCTACGTGTGTGTGTGTGTTGTTGTTCTGGAAGTTAGGTGCCTTCCAGAAGCCAGTTTGGTCAGAGAGCCAGTTTGGGGTAGTGGTTAAGTGCGCGGACTCTAATCTGGGAGAACCGGGTTTGATTCCGCACTTCTCCACATGCAGCTGCTGGTGTGACCTGGGGTCAGTCACAAGTTCTGTCAGAGCTGTTCTTGAAAAAGAGCAGTTTCTGTCAGAGCTCTCTTGGCCCCGCCTACCTCACAGGGCGTCTGTTGTGGGGAGGGGAAGGGAAAGGAGTTTGTAAGCCCCTCTGAGACTCCCTTGGGTAGTCAAGGGCGGGGTATAAATCCAGTCTCTTCTCCTCCTCGTCTTCTCCTTAGAAGCCCCCAGGTGTATGGGAAGGGCTAGTTAGGGCTACCAGTAGGTATGCTAAGGGCACTCTGTCGATGCTCAGAAGCACTGCTGCTGTCCCAAGCCAATCACCACTTTGGGGACAGGAAGGGAATTTTTCTCCAGGCCCGGTTGGCCCAGGGATCTTGGAGTATTTTTGCCTTCCTCTGGGCCCAGAGCAGGGGGTCACTGGGGGGAGTTGGAGGAGAGGCAGTTGTGAATTTCCTGCATTGTGCAGGGGGTTGGACTAGATGACCCTTGGGTTCCCCTCCATCTCTAGGTTTCAGTGTTCCCAAGCCTTACGCTCAGGTCCTTCCAGGTGGGCAGCAGTGTCCTCTCTGAGCTGTGTGAGTGTGAGCCAGCTCACAGTTTTTTAGCCTCCAGCTCAGAGATTTTTGCCTTAGCTCAGGGAGGAGGGCGCTCCGGAGCCGACTAGGTTCTGCAGCAGCCCAATCGCTCGCTCACAAACTGACTCCCAGCAGCTCACAAAGTTGAATTTTTGCTCACAAGATGCCACTGGTTAGAGGGGGCACTGGGGCAGCCGTGTGGGGCAGAACCAAGTCTGAGTCCAGCGGGGCACCTTTAAGACCAACAGAGGTTTATTCAAGGGATGACGCGCTTTCGGGTGCCAGGCCCACCTCCTCAGAGACTTCTTCTGCCCTGTGTTCTGCTGCTTCAGAATTCTGGCTGACAGGGCTCCACAGCTGGAGGCAGGCGGCTGCGTCTGGTGGCCTTTTCGGCAGGGGGCCGGGGGGGGCCCCTCTCACTTTGGCCGGCTGCCATGTTTGAGCTGGAGCGGCGCTCTTCAGACCAGCAGGAAGAGGGCTCCGGTTACGCCCCTCCCAGGACTCGGCTTGGCTCGCTCGCGCAAGACTTTTGGCTCCTCGGTTTCCTTGTCTCCGCCGCACCTGCTCTCTCTTCTCGGCCTCTCTCGCTGTGCCCCAAGCTTGGGCGGCGTAAGAGACTCAGAATAGCGCCTCTGGATCAGACCCAAGAGGGGCGGCTGTTTCCCAGGAAGGCCCACGAGAGAGGCCAAAGCCTCCTCTCTCGTTTCACCCGGCATCTAATAATGATAATAATAATCTTTCAATTTATTAATCGCTCAATCCTGCAGAGCTTGCTGGCTCTGAGCGATTTACAGTTACTCATTCACACGGGACTAACAATGATTTATGGGGGTGAGGGAGGACAACATATATCTTTTTTTAAAATCACACACATTCACAGTTGGCGAGGGTTTGCTCAGCTGCAGAGTCAGACGTGTTCCGTCGGCATATTCACTTCGGCTTGGCTAGATGACGTCAGCTTCTCCAGGTCTTGCAGCGCCGCACTGCCACCGCCTGGCCGGAACGGCCCATTACAGGCTTCTCGGAGTCGAAGAGATTTTTTCTTAGGCTTTCAATCTTGCGAGCTGAGCATTCCGGTCGCCGGCTAACACCTCCCCCACCGGGGTGGGGGCTTGGTGTGCCCACCCTCTCTAAGGAGTGGTACCCATTTTATCTACTCGCCGAAGCTTTCGAACCGCTGGGTGGACGGTTCTGCCTCTGAACATGGAGGTTCAATGTCGGATAGCTGCTGTTGGCTTTCTCCGCCATGAATTTGTCTCTGTTCATCAAGTGTCAGTGAGTTCCACCCGTTACTAATGCCTCCCTCTAAGCTCTGGAGTCTTGTGAGCAGGAATTCTACTTTGTGAGCTTACTGGCATTCAAGTTGTGAGCGAGCGCTTGGGCTGCTGCGTCAATTAGTTTGCTCTGGAGCCCTCCTCCCTGAGCTAAGACAAAAAGGTGTCAGCCGGAGGCTAAAAAACTGCGAGCCGGCTCACACTCACTCAGCTTAGAGGGTATAAATCTCAAATAAATAAATAAATATGCGAAGAAAGGCTTTCTTTTGCGTATCCGGAACCTATAGGGTGTTTGTCCCCAGGAGGCAGGGTCAAAGTTCTCTCTGTCCGGTTTGTTTGTTTGTTTTGAGAGCCCGTTTGGTGTAGCGGTTAAGTGCGCGGACTCTAATCTGGGAGAACAGGGTTTGATTCCCCATTCCCCCACTCACAGCTGCTGGGTGACCTTGGGCAAGCCGTAGTTCCGTCAGAGCTGTTCTTGAAAAAAAGAGCAGTTTCTGTCAGAGCTCTCTCAGCCCCACCTGCCTCACAGGGTGTCCGTCTGTTGTGGGGAGGGGAAGGGAAAGGAGTTTGTAAGCTGCTCTGAGACTGCTTTGGGTAGTGAAGGGCGGGGTATAAATCCAATCTCCTTCTCCCCCACCTTTCTTGCCGGTGGGCACCCAATGCGACTTGTATCATTCTCCTGTTTTCCACTGTATCCTCACAACAACATCCCTGTGAGGCAGGTTAGGCTCACAGAGTCTAACTTGTATTCTAGTCTGACACTCTAACCCAGGGGTGTCAAACATGCGGCCCCAGAGGGCTTTTCTCAGGCCCACAGTGGAGCTGGCTGTCTTCTGCTTCTTCTTTCAGTTCTGCTGCTGCTGCATCATCGTAGGTTTGCCGCTTACAGGTACACACCTGAACAGCATACTCAAGATTGCAACAGCACAGATATTTTGATGCAATAATTCAAAGCAAGAGGTGTCAGTTATCAGACACTGTTAAATAAACAAAATATTGCAAGAGTGCTACTGTTTTAAGTATGCTTTTATTTTAAGTTAAAAAACCCCTCTGTGTTTGTGTCCTTTATAAAGTTTATATCTCCGCTACCTGGCATTACATTTCATGACATGCATGGCCCGGCCCAACAAGGCAGGGGTCATTTCGTAGGAAAAAACAGGTGCAGGAGCTCATTAGCATAACTCATTTGCATAACTTATTTGCATATGCCACACTCCCTGCCATCACCGGAAGTGTGTCAGAAGGCAACACCCACCGCTCAGGCTCCACTGGACTGTTTTGGATTGCTAGCTATGGGGGGGGGGGAATGTGCAGATCTGTCCTCGCAGAGGAGGGACCCCTGACATCACCGGAAGTGTGTCAGAAGGCAACACCCGCCGCTCAGGCTCCACTGGACTCTTTTGTTTCTAGCTCTGTGGGGGGGGGGACATGTAGATCTGCCCTCGTAGAGGAGGGAGAGTTTGTACCTGAATAAAACTTGGTCTTAAAGGTGCCACTGGACTGTTTTGGATTGCTAGCTCTGTGGGGGGGGGGACATGTAGATCTGTCCTCGTGGAGGAGGGAGAGCTTGTACCTGAATAAAACTTGGTCTTAAAGGTGCCACTGGACTGTTTTGGATTTCTAGCTCTGTGGGGGGGGGGACATGCAGATTTGCCCTCAAAGAGGAGGGAGAGCTGGTACCTGAAGGCGGGGGGGCCCCCTCTGCAACTTACCTGGCTGCTTCTTGCTCCTCGTGGCCCAACTGAGGGCTGCTGGGAGCAGGGGGCGGGGCTTGTTGCATGTCCCCGCCCCCTGGGCTCCTCTCTGCCGGAGCTCCGCTCCTGTGCGCTCCCACAGGAAATGACCCCTGCAACAAGGTATCATTTATGTAACAAATGAGTTCGACACCCCTGCTCCAACCCCTTGGCCACGGTGGCTCTGAAGCCCGTTTATCCCCCACCCCGTGCCTCGTTTTGTCAGCCTCGCCGTTCCCCTTGGTCTTTTGGAGGTGGTGGGGGGAGGGAGCCTTTTAGTGGTTTGATCCTGGGGCAGTCTGGGAGGCGTACCCCTCTGGGCCTCGCGCCCAAGATGTGAACTCACGGCTGCCTTGAACCGAGAGGAAAGGCGGGATTAAAGATATTTTAATGAATGAATAAACAAAGGGCTGGTCGCGACAGTTTTGTGGTGGACGAGGAGGCACTCTGCATATGCTCAGGAGTCCTGTCACCCGTCACATATTCTGTGCTTGCAGTCTAGCATTGCCCTTCTTCTGAGGCTCGAGTTGAGCCCTGGGCCCCACCCCGTCTCATCTCCCCGCAGGGTGCTGGGGTCGCTGCTGTGCTCCTGGCTGGATGGGTACCCGGAGGACTTTGCGGGCCTGGAGCCCGGCCTGCGGGAGCAGATCCTGGCCCGCCTGCGCTGGGCCCTCGGGAGCGGATCCGAGCATGAGAGGAGCCTGACGCCGGCCCCGACGGAAGGAGCCCCGGTGCCACGGGAGGAGCCGGAGGGAGACGAGGCCGTTGCGGAGGACCCAGATGCCGACCCCCATTACATCCTTGGCCTGCAGGCAGACGAAGTGGCGGCCCACCTCACCGCGCAGGATGCCGTGAGTGCCGGGAGGGGGAGCAGAGCCCCACACCATACCCCCCTGGGGCTGAGAGGGCAGCTTGGCTTGGCGGCATTTTTAGAGGGCAGGCCGACCCTCAGCGCTTGGCGTGAAATGAAATGCAATTCCTCCAATGTGTTAACAATATTTCATAACAGCTAATAATAATAATAATAGATAATAATCTCTGGTCCCAGCTCCTGCCAGCCTAGCAGTTCGAAAGCAAGAACTTGCAAGTAGATAAATAGGGACCACTTCCGTGGGAAGGTAACAGCGTTCCGTGCGCCTTGGCGTTTAGTCATGCCGGCCACATGACCACGGAAACGTCTTCGGACAGCGCTGGCTCTTCGGCTTGGAAACGGAGATGAGCACCGCAACCCTAGAGTCGGATTCGACTGGCTTTCGAGCAAGGGAAACCTTTACCTTTTAATAACACATCAACATTGTTACATATTTTTTCTTCCATAGGTGCAGAAAAAAGAAGTGGGTTGACGAAACTCCCTGGAGCTGGGTTTCGTTTCGTTCACAACTTCATCCGAACACACGGAAGCACCGTGGTCGTTTCTCTTCAGAACCTATTGTTCATAGTGTCTTCCAATGATATTCCATGCCATAATTTCAATACCTACGGGACCGCCCCTCCCCATATGTGCCCCAACGAGCACTGCGGTCCGGGACTAAACATCTCCTGGTGGTTCCAGGTCCCAAAGAGGCCAGACTAGTAGCGACTAGGGCTAGGGCTTTTTCGGTGGCGGCTCCTACCTGGTGGAATGAGCTCCCAGAGGAGATCCGGGCCCTGCGGGACCTTGCACAGTTCCGCAGGGCCTGCAAGACGGAGCTCTTCCGCCAGGCGTTTGAGTAGGAGCCGCCACGACTGTTACCATCTGTCTACGACTATTACTATCTGCCCTAGCCCTTATTACCAACTCGCCGTGAGTGCAAAAATGGTGGTACTGCGTGGAGCTGTGGCCACTAAGGATACCATCCTGATGACGTCATCTGTTCCCTTGCTAGTTATTGTGGAGAGCACCTAAGTTATATTGAATGTTTTTAAAATGCAGTTTTAATGTTTTATGTATTGGGCATTGGCCCCATCTGTACGCCGCCCTGAGCCCGTTCACGGGGAGGGCGGGTTATAAATTTAAATAAAATAAATAAATAAATACTAAAGTGCATCCTATTCCATTTTAGTGGAGAATCTTGTCCCGGACATACAAACATATCAATTTGTTTGCATGCCCGGGACAAGATTCTCCACGGTACTTCAGTGTGTTCGGATGAAGTTGTGAACAAAACGAAAGCCAACTCCGGGGAGTTTTGTCAACCCACTTCTTTTTTCTGCACCCATGGAAGAAAAAATATGTAACCATGCGGCTGTTATTAGCTATCATAAAATAACATTGTTAATACATTAGAGAAATTGCATTTCATTTCATCCCAAGCGCTGAATGTCGGCCTGTTCTCTAGTTTATTAGTTGTCTTGGGCTGTTACCATTGATATTACTTGGCATTTTTAGAGGGTACAGCGTTCTGTTCACCTCGGTGTCTAGTCATGCTGGTCACATGACCGTGGAAATGTCTTCGGACAGCGCTGGCTCTTCGGCTTGGAAACGGAGATGAGCACCGCATCCCTAGGGTCAGATTCGACTGGCTTTTGAGCAAGGGAAACCTAACATTTCAAGCCCCTTATGGGTGTTGTGTATGTGTTCTTATATGTGCCTTCACCACAATGAGGACTAGAAACTTGGTGGAGTTTGTTTGTTTTTTAATTCCTCTGGAGCTGGCAAAAGCGTGCCAACGTCCAGGTGACGCAAGAAGGGATGGCAAACGGCCTCTGGCGCTGCTTATGGGTGCGTCTCCTGCATCGAAATGTGCAGGCCGCATATTGAGACTCGCATATGTTACGCAACCCCACAGTATGTTGTTGTGTGTATAGGTAATGCGTTTGGCACGACTGATTTCTGCTGACGCTGAGGAGAGGGGGAAGGCGTCTGCCCCCCCCCCTTCCTTCCAAGCGCTGCTGAACTGTCCCGGGCAAGGCCAGGCACTTTCAAGCACGTATTTGCAGTCACGAGAACAAGAAACTTGGCTGTAAACAAAATGCCTCGTCTCGGTCATTCTACCTATTTGTCTCAGTGTAGTCACAGAACCTGCCCCAATGCCTGCCGTCCAAATCAATCTGTGGGTGTGGTGGCCAACGCTCCCTCTAAGCTGTGGAGTCCTGTGAGCAAAAACTCTACTTTGGGAGCTCCTGGCATTAAGGTTGTGAGCGGGCGATTTGGGTGCTTCGCGAATCAGTTTGCTCTGGAGCCCCCTCCTTCCTGAGCGGAGACAAAAAGGTGTGTGAGCCGGAGGCTAAAGAACGGTGAGCCAGCTCACACTAGCTCAGCTTAGAGGGAACACTGGTGGTGGCCAACTGCAGCTTGGGAGATTCCTGGAGAGATTTGGGGGAGGGACTGCCCCCCCAGCAGGGAACTGATGGCATGGAGTCCACCGTCTGAAGCCCCCTTTTCCTCCCAGGGAACGGACCTCTATAGTCTGTAAATCCACTGTAGTTCAGGGAGTATTTCATCCCCCCCACCTGGAGGTTAATATGAAAACTGAGGGTCACAGTGTTAGGAAGATCTAGGAGAATATAAAACACTGTGTGTAATAAACATAGACTTAAGGTAAATCTATTATATGCTTTTAAAAATATTTCTATACCATGTTATAAATATCGGTGTCAAGTATTTCAGAGTTTTGGAAGAACAACAGAACTACCATCTAAGAGAGAGGTTGCTAACCAAATACTTCAAGCAGCAGAAATTGATAAACTTTCGCTACTTTTAAAGAATCGAGCAGAAGAAATCTATGAAACTACTTGGGCCAAATTTTATAGCTGGAAACTACGCTAACTTGAAAATGTCAACTAATTAAAACCTGAGAAAAGATATTGTCAAAACCTTTCTATCCTGTAAAAAAGACAAGGTTATGTGATGTACAGTAATGACAAGGCGAAATCATTAGACAAGATGCGTGATCTGTACCCCATGGTTTTTTTTTATGTTTGTTTATCTGTATATAATGGAGCTGTGGTGGCTCAAGTGGTTAAGACTCTGAACTGCAGGCTGTGGAAGGTCGGTAGTTCAGCAGTTCGAGACCCGAGTGGGCCACATGACGGAGTGAGCTCCCGTCTCTAGTTCCAGCTCCTGCCAACCTAGCAGTTCGAAAGCAAGAAATTGCAAGTAGATAAATAGGTACCACTTCGGTGGGAAGGTAACAGCGTTCCTTGGTGTTTAGTCATGCCGGCCACATGACCACGGAAACATCTTCGGACAGCGCTGGCTCTTCGGCTTGGAAACGGAGATGAGCACCGCAACCCTAGAGTCAGACTCCACTGGCTTTCGAGCAAGGGAACCTTTACCTTTTTTATCTGTATATAACTATATATAGAATAAAGAATTTTTTTAAAAAAGTATTTCCGAACATAGATTCATAGAATCATAGAGATGGAAGGTACCTCTAGGTTCATCTATTCCAACCCCCTGCACAATGCAGGAAATTCACAAATACCTCCCCCTCTACACCCGCAGTGACCGCTGTTCTACGCCCAAAATATGACAAAAAAATCTCCAGGATCCCTGGCCAAACCAGCCTGTAGAAGAATGGCTTCCTGACCCCAAAGTGGCGATCAGCATTTCTCTGGGTGTGTGTAAGAAAGTGCCACAGCAATTTACCACAGCCGTATGTCAAAGTGCAGGTTTACACTGTGTACAAACATTGAAACACCACCTTTGACAGTCACCTGATAGAACTTGAGAGAGATGTTCTCCTAGATAACTTTGGATGTTTGCCGCAAGGGTTCTGATGGGACCCCCCAAAAATGCTGCTATTTTAAGGTACTCACAAAGAGGATTTTTGCGCCTTATGTCTTGCATGTATATCACTGTCCTTGAAAAAGAGTGTATTCCGTGTGGGTAAATTACTAGAGTCCCCTGGGATCAGTGTTTGTGAAATTGACAAGGTGCTGTTTGAATGTTGGTACATAGTGTAAACCTGCCCTTTGAGATACTGTTGTGGCGAATCCGTGTTTTGAAATACTTGACATCCGTATTTATAAAATAGTACAGAATTTAAAATAAATAAATAAATAGAAAGCAGAAGATAGATTTACCTGAAGCCAGTTTTGTGTGGTGGTGAAGTGTGCAGACTCTAATCTGGGAGAACAGAGTTTGATTTCCCCACTCCTCCTCCACATGCAGCTGCTGGATGACCTCGGGCAAGCCGTAGTTCTCTCAGAGCTGTTCTTGAAAGAGCTCTCTCTCAGCCCCACCGACCTCCCAGCATGTCTGTTGTGGGGAGGGGAAGGGAAAGGAGTTTGTAAGCAGCTCTGAGACTCCCTTGGGTAGTGAAGGGCAGGGGTATAAATCCAATCTCCTCTTCTTCAGTCACAAGTTCTCTCAGAGCTGTTCTCTCAAGGGCAGTCCTCGAAAGAGCTCTCTCAGCCCCACCTCCCTCACAGGATGTCTGTTGTGGGGAGGGGAAGGGAAAGGAGTTTGTGAGCCGCTCTGAGACTCCTTTGGGTAGTGAAGGGCCATGGGGTATAAATCCAATCTCCTCCTCTTCTTACTCTTCTTCTTCTTCTCCTTCTCATATACATGGCAGTTTGGTGTAGTGATCAAGTGCACAGAGTCTAATCTGGGAGAACCGGCTTTGATTCCCCCACTCCTCCACTCGCACCTGGCTGGGTGATCTTGGGCACGCCATAGTTCTGACAAGAGATGTCCTTGAAAAAGAGCCGTTTCTGTCAAGAGCTCTCTCAGCCCAACCTCCCTCACAGGATGTCTGTTGTGGGGAGGGGAAGGGAAAGGAGTTTGTAAGCCGCTCTGAGACACCTTTGGGTAGTGGACAGGGTATAAATCCAATGTCTTCTTCTTCTACTACTACTTCCTTCCTTCCTTCCTTCCTTCC